CAAGAAGAGATGGCAAGAGCAAATGCTAAGAGAGGAAGCTGCTACTGCCGATGCAACACAAGGGGAAATGGTAAGAAGATAGCAGACTGCTGGACATTACTCTCTCCGCAGTTCTCCCATCACTACTAGCGCCTTTGGAACAAGTAATTTCTTTCATACCTCTGCTGTTTTTTACTTTGTCAGCTTGTGGTATTGAAGTTTAACATTGTTCTGCATTTCTTCCTTTTGCAGCGACAACTACTGCACTCACCTTTCCAATGAGACCTTCCTCAATTTCGGTTGAGGTTGACCAAATGCAGAATGTCAGGGTTGTTCGAGTCGTACTTCCACTTCCAAAGCCTATATTTGTCATACCTTCTTCAAACTCCAGTATTCCTGCATCTCCTTTTCTTGGATTAAAGCCATACCTCCCTTTTTTGGCTCGTGACTTACCTCAGTCTACTTTTCCTTCGAGCCTTGCTCTTTTTCCATCCTTTACAGAAACTCCAACTGCTGCTCCATTCCTAGTGGCAGTTGATTCTTCCACAGAGGACACTGGTAGCTCTTCAATTCATGGCTCATCACAAATGCCAACTTCCAGCCCCTCTTCACTTGATTTGCTGGTGGCCAAGACCATAGAGGCTGCCAAAGATGCTCCATCCATTTCTCCCATCCCCATGCAGCCCTTTGTGTCTTCCACCACAACACTCTCTATGCCCTTCATGTCAAGGGACGAGGTAAACATCTTCGAAGGAAGACTAGCTAGTCTCTTTGACATACCTTCTCCCTCTCCCACCTCTACTGCTGAAGCTGAGCCATTAGCCTTGGCTAACTCCTTATTGGAAATCTTCGAGAGTTCTCCTTCCACCAGCAACAAGCCTTTTGTACCTTCAGTAGATTTGGACACATGCTTGCAACTGTTGACTTCCTTTTCAAGGATCCCCTTCGAGGCTCTACAAAGGCCCATCATCAGGAATGGGTTCCTTCAATGCTGTAACATTGCTGAACAGTCTGCAATGAGTGTCTCAAGTCATCTATCTCAAGCTGCAGCTACTATTGATTTTTATCTCAACATTTGCCATGCTGCTAAGACTGCGGATGAGAAGCTGGCTAAGGACCAGAGTTTTGTTTCTCAAGTGCATACTGAAGTATCAACTCTGAAAGAACAACACTCTTCTGCCTCCCACTTTCCCTTGGTTTACAAACTTACAGATACAAAGAATTCTTCCCCTAAGCTCCCTTTGTATTCTGACCGAACTACCCTCGAGCCTTTGCTTCGACAAGTTGCAAATATGGACTTAGGAAACTCTTCTTCACAGACCTCTGCATGGGATGAAACTGTGACCTCTTCATCCTCTGGAGCTTCTGGCTGGACAAGCTGGTCAACTCCTGAGACTTATGATTTAAGGGAGCGAATCAATCACCATTTCG